GTTTCTCCAACCTTACTTATACGATAGGAAATGTTAATTGAAAGCCAGGTTGGCCCCCGTGTACTTTTAGTGATGTACCGAAAATGTAGTATTTAGAATTGGTACTTTTTTTTCTAAAGTAGTATGACACTGAAAAAAAGTTTACCTTTTTTTTTTTTTCTTTCTTGTTTTACAATTTTTTCATTATAAATAAAAAAAAAGTTTGATATTTACGATGGCCCCCTTTTCACTTTCAAAAACGATGCTACGCCACTGTACTTGGTATATTACTGAAATAAAGTATATATACAAAATAAAGTACACATTTTAAAATACACAGTCCCCTTTTACACCCCCGTGTTTTTTTTTTTTTTTACCATGTTTGCGTTATTTTTTTTGGGGGGGGGGGGGGGTTACTACAGATCGGTAAAAGGTTGAAGTTTGACATTGGAATTTCTTTTTAATCAAAAGATTTTCAGTTTTTTTTTCTTACTTTTTAAATTTTTTTGGGGGGGAAGGGGGTCTGTCAATTCTTTTCAGGTAAGGCGTCTAATTTTTTTTCTTGTTTTCCTGCTCTCTCTCACTTTCAGAAACGACACCACGCGCCTGATGATTATGCGATTTCATCAACCTAAACAATTTTCACTAATCCAACATAATTTCTTTTATCGGTTATTATGTGGAAATGTTTTGGTGTTGACAAGCTGAGGTGTGAAGTGTTGCCTGTAAATGTCACCGCAATGATGGAATAGCTAGCACCATTTTCGTAGAGGACTACATAACCTTGCCGCAGGACAGTTTACATGTATGTATCAATGTGCAAGTTTCCCTAGAAACAAGTAACATGTAATGTCAACATCAACGGTCTGTCGCAAACTTTAATTAATTTGTTTTAGAACTTCTGCCATCGACGAGTGGAAAACCACTCCATTTCTTGAACAAACCTCATCTTGCACAACATCCTCAGGTGATATAATACCCCTACCCCCCTTTCTCCGCCCAAAATGATACATATCATAAACCTTAACATGTCAATGCAAACATATGTACTAGTGCGATAAATGTTGATGGGGGGGGGTAGGTATGGGGGGGGGGGGGGTAGGGTTCCGACTCTGAATTCATTGCCTGCACTTGAATGAATTATTTAGATGATCTATAGGTATATCCTTCAATACAAAACGATACATTTCACGATATGTATCATTGTACATTTTTATGATTTCCACGCGATTATGCCAATATAAACGTGCAATTGTGAGGAGAACATTTAACATTTTCTAGTTGGTTTTTTGTTTGTTTTTAAGATACATTGATGTTTGGGAATTTTAAATTGAAAGGCACAACTGTTTGCTCCATGAGTGTTTGACATACATGATTATTTTAATCCATATTAATAATAAAATAACAACAGACATGTATAGTATCGAGGGGATGGGAGCTCCATCATATCCCCATCTTTTTTCGAAATTAATTAATATTTACGGCGGGGGGGGGGGGGGGGGGGGGGGTGAGAAATGTAAGAATGTAAGAAATGTGAAAAGGTATTTTGTTGTTTTTTTTTAATGTGAAAACAGCCTTTTTGCATACTCATTTTTCTTTCAAAATTGCTAAATATTACGCATGGTGTCTGAATGCATGGTGCATCATCATGTCTTATGTGGAAGAATTTTGCAACAAGTTGCAAATTGCATTCGTCTTTCCTTAAAAAGGCGCCTTTATGCTTGTAACTTCAAGTTATTTGACTTGCATACTTGATTATAATCATTCAAGTATTTATCAAAACATTTCATATTGCAAAGAGGCATATATTCCGTCCTGAGTGTTGTAGGGTGATATAGGTACTGGCTCAAAAGTTGTTTTAATGAATTAAAAAACATAATTAACTCTAAGAAAGTTCTAGTAAAATTTTGTACTCCAGTCAATAAAAGGGGGGGGGTGTCACAAATTAGGCAGAATACAGTTGTATTTTTCCGGGAGTCTTCACATGTTGAAAGAACTTACTTGGCAAAACTTATTCGTAAATAAGAAAATAACTGTATATTGAGTGCCTGTTCAAAGTAAGGAACAAAAGATAATGAAATGTTTGATGGTTAGCTGATATTTATTTAGAATTTATTCAGTAAACTTGCAACTGGATTAAGGTGCATGTTTTCCCAAACCTCTGGTATTTCTAATAACAAACTGCAATGTACTCATGAAAAACCAACGATACTGTACGCAAACCAATTTCAGTACTTTAATTTGATATTAAATGTTTTTTTTATATTTTATTCATTTTTTTTTTTTTTTTTTTTTGAAAAAATACTCGAATTTTTTTTTTTTTTTTTTCCGAAAGCGTGTTGTGCATAATTTCACACCTCGTTTACATATACATACAAATGTACAAAAACATATGAATAATAACAACAAAAAAAACAAAACACTGTTCAAAAAGAATTTTTGTATACAGCTGACCACGATAAAAAGTACACATGTATACTATATATACAATACATACGCATGTACATATAAATACCTGGTATACGTTGTGCACGTAGCTAATGATAATTAATTATCATTAATTACTGCTCAGTATCTGTTCATTTACTGTCTGATGTACCTTAGGTTTAACAAGTATAAAGAACTAAAAAAATCGAGAAGACTGAGGAAGATTTGTTAATTATCATAGAAATATACCAAATTGTATTTTTACATAAAAACACAATTTTTTAACTGTTCAAGGGGGACATGGCCACTGATTAATAAACAGAAATCTTAATTGAGTTTCGTGATAGATGTATATGTTAATACCCTTTAGATATATTACGTATTTATTCCTCATCCGTATTGCGTTACTAAATTCACTACAAAGTAATTTATATTCGAAGAGACAGCAAGGATCAAAATTGTAAGGGTCTAGCTGGCCATGACCAGGTATTAAACAACCCAGTAATTTGTGGTGATAGCTTTGTAATTTCATCCTATCATCGGGACCAATGTTCTGCGATTTTCGTAAGGGAAAAAAAATTAATGCGCAAATGTTCATTTTTTTTGCAAAGTATTACAGCATAGATTTATGTGTTCATAGGAAATTATTTTTGTCAAGATAAAGAGAGACATTTTTCTTTGGACTCCAGCTACAAATTTTCAGGTGACAGTCCATTTCTCAAATAACAATGACCAGGACAAGAGCTGAACTCTAAGTTTCCAAAATAAACATTTTTCTCGGTGAGAATCTGAAGACAAGATATTTCATTTTGAAGCTTGGACAATGAAGGGTATCGTATCAAGTGCGCCGCGTAAACGAACAGGTTACAATGAATCCTATTCCACGGCCATTAATCACTGACAGTTGAGGGCAAAAATATTGGATTCGCCGAAAGGTTGGTCAGCCGCTTGAAAAGCGGGAGGGTATATAGTTTGTACGTCTGTCCGTCCGTCCGTCCGTCTGTCCGTCCGTCCGTCCTTCCGTCTGTCCGTCCGTCCGTCTGTTACGCTTTTGGGTACCCATCTCTTATCCGCAACTCCTCTCATACCACTGAATGAAATTTGATGAAACTTTCACAGAATCTTTATTACATATTGCCATTGTGCACCTCCTATTTTACATCCGACACATATTTTGGGTGGCCACAGCAAAACATTGCCATTATAACTGGTCCGTCAAAAAACTCCTCTCATACCACTGGAAATTTGATGAAACTTTCGATTACATATTGCCATTGGCACCTCAGATCCGACACATTTTTTTTTCCGGCCACAGCAAAACATGGACTTTGCCATTATAACTATATGGAGGCGGGGGGTATCATTTAGTGAGCTCATCGCTCACAATGCCTCTAGTTTTTAGCGGCGTTTGGTCAACTTTCAGTGGCAGATTGCAGGTCCGGCAGGTATCGTCCAAACTTCAGTGGTGACGAGTGTCTTGGCAGAAACATGTTTTTATACTGTACAATAGAAGTCATGAACTTGCTAAATGTTTAAATTTGAGTTTTCAGAGAGAGAGAAAGAGAGAGAGAGAGAGAGAGAGAGCTATTGCAGTTGCAACTTGTATTGGAGGCCAATTGACCTAGAGGAGGTAACTCTTACAAAAGACCAAGACCAGAAAAGAAAACCACCACATCAACTGATTGAGTCCAAATATTGATCAAGTTAAAAATATCGATTTCTGACAATTTCATTTATTTTTTGTAATTTTATGGTATCATATTATATTAATGATTAAGCATTAATTTAAATCTCAATTAAAAATTCATTTTAAGACTTGGTCTTTTAAGAATGCGCTTTATTTTCAGCTCAGCTTGAAAAAAAACTATGGAAACTAGAGGTACTGTGAGCAATGAGCTCGCTAAATGATACCCCCGCCTCCCATATGAATATAATGGCAGTGTCCATGTTTTGCTCTGAAAAATCAAAAATATATGTCAGATCAAAAAGTAAAATAGGAGGTGCACAATGGCAATATGTAATTAAGAATCTGTCACAGTTTCATTAAATTTCCTTCAGTGATATGAGAGGAGTTGCGGATAAGAGATGGGTACCCCAAAGCGTAACAGACGGACGGACAGACGGACGGAAATACCGATTACTATATACCCTCCCACTTTTCAAGCGGGGGGTATAATAATATTTGTAGATATGCATGCATACACATGTACACGCATGCTAATTTTGAATAACTTCTATGTATATTCTCAGTATACCTACATGTATATGCTGATATGAACGATGAATTAGCAATAAATCTGGCCCGATCTTTTCTCACTTTTAGATATATGTAAAAGCTTTTTGAATAAATAACCAATAGTGAAAAATGAATTAGAACACAAGGATGATTTGGCACTCTTAAATAAATATATTGATAGAACTGGGCAAATAAAAGGAAACAGAAACAATATGATATGACATTTTATTTTAACACATCAATACGTAGACCTTTCAACTGTTCAAGCGCTACTGCGGATTCCGTATTTCAACGGTCCGCTTTTGTTTTGAATTTAGTCACACCGGAAAAGCATTTCCATGTTGAGGTACCTGAGTCGACCGAGTACAGTTTACCAAATACGAAAAAGAGTATTTGCTGATTGAACAAGGCATTCAGGATTTGTGTCTGGTAAACTGGGACTAACGATATCAGAAAAATAAAGAAAAAATGGGGCGTAAGTAATTACAAACATTAAAAGTAGTATCAAAGGGATTTACTTTGTATTTGTATTAAGAGGAAATTCGAAATGATGTTACTTGCATAAGATTGGGATGATGTTAGAAAAAATCTATAAAACATGCCCCCCGAAAATAGATTTACTGAATGTAAAGTAAGTCAATAAATGCCTAGCAAATAAAAAATAAAAACCTTTTATATAGGATTTATTTACCAAATACAAAAATGTACATGTTTGATGTTTTTCCAATTTTCAACCAAATGTCGCTATTTTTCTCAAAGGAAAGGCCCAAACCCTTGATTTTAAGACCTAAAAAAACCCCTCGTTCCTGTGACGAAAACATGAAAAACAAAAATATATCACCAATAAATTACTTAAAACAGGTTACATGTTAATCCGAGATTCCTCTGACTCTTACCCTAATCTCTTTGAGATTCTGCTGGGCTAGATATTTGGACTGATGCCCACAGAATCTCTGGACAGCCACTCATAATTCACGTCTGGAGATTAGGCCCAAACTTCGGCCGACTATAGCAAGAATTATTCACCTAGACCACACTGCTGTTCGCTTCAATTAAGTCAATTGGTTGTTTATTTGACTCTCTGTCACTATTATTTCTTTATTATACTTTCATATTAAATACTAAAATCTGATTGGTTTAGACGCAGTTAACAATCCGTTCTATTACCCTCAGCCTTAGCAACACACATGACAACGGGTAACACAACGGTAATGTCACATGCGTGGAAATTATGCGCGTATGGTTCACCGTAGAATTCTCAAAACGTCAGTTGTGCATTTGAAAGAACCGGAATAAACTTGACGTCAATGAAAGCTTGCGTCCGATGTAGCTTACTTGAAAACAACAAACGACAGACGAAACATGCTTGCGAGTGCAGAAATAACGAAACTTTAGATGATAAAGGACTCTTAGAGTATCAAATAAACAATAAAGAGGTCAGTAAATCTTTTCAGAAGTAGCGTGGAGTTTGAAAGCTTTCTAAACGTGAATGTAAAGACGATCGACGATTTTTTGTCTGACATCCGAAATCAAGAAGACATTCAGTATAATAAAATAAATAGTGCCTGTTTTGGAGGGTAACAGTTGAAATTGACACCCCTCGGAAAACCATTGTCAACCTGCGCTGACGCGTCGGTTGACAGTGGTTTTCCTTGGGGTGTCAATTTCAACTGTTACCCTCCAAAACAGGCACCATTCATATAATATTACATACCGTTAAGGCAGGTAAATCCCAGCATAAAAATATTGACTGAAATCTCCGTTCGAAATATGGCTTCCATGACGAAATTGTTTACCTCCTCGCATAAAAGAGTTCCTATGGTCTGTTTTCTTTCATGTGATGTTCAATAGCCATAGTAGACATTAGTTCATACTCGCGTAGGGTAAAAACAGACTATAAGAACTCTTTTATGTGAGGAGGTAAACAATTTTGAAATGGGAGCCATATTTCGAACGGATATAGGGGAGTCTCCCCTGCACAATCAGAATATAAAAAGCGGGGGTAAGAGTCAGAGGAATCGCGGATTAGTTACATGTAAGCTCAACAAGATTCGTCAACACTAAAAAAATTTTAGCCGATGAATCTCACAGAGATTAATATGCAGTACAGAATTATATTTTGTATTGTATTGATATTATCATTGGCAGGTTTTTTAGCTTCCTCTTTAAGTTCACTGTGGAAAAGCTTTCCTAGGAGTTACTGTGTAGGACAAGCAAGTAAGAGTAACCTGAGTCAGCTACGTAAAAAGACAGGGGTACCACTGAAGAACTGCAGAGAAGCACTAGAAAAATTCAATAATAATTTAGAGGAGGTATGATTTCTGGTCTATCTTTAAAAGGAAAAATTTCAATGAAAGTACATAGATACACATTACACTACGAATGCTTTGCAAAGATCATATAGTTTTGAAATAGTGAGGACTCTATACTTGTACTGAAGATTTGATATTTCATTAATATTTCATTATTAACATCCTGGAAGATTTGTATAGGGCCTCTATAATGAGTTTTATAGTTATCTATGTCTTTTTGTATGTTTAGGCAGAAAAATGGTTGTTAGAAGAAGCACAGAAACAGGGCTGGGCCCGGGCCGACAAGCTTCAGTCACGGTCCATGTCACAAGGCCTGGTCGGGCTCATACAATCCAGAACGGGGGCCACCATGATTGAGGTAGGGCCTGTCCTTAATATTTAAGAAAAACTTTTGCCTAACTTATTATTTAGAGTTTCATATGAAATATACAGTGTATTTTGAATGTCAAGAGTCAATTTATGTTATGAGATACATGTAATTTAATTTTATTAGGTATATCAATGTTATGAGATAATGTTATGTTTTAGGTGAATTGTGAGACAGATTTTGTAGCAAGAAATGAGAAATTTAAAGACTTGGTGTACCACCTAACAGTCGCCTGTCACAGCAACCTTAAAAATGATGCAAATAAAGTAAGCAGTTACAGTACTTTGATTAAGGGGCATTGCATTAAAACACAAAATGTGGAAAGTATCACTCTAACATTTCAAATCTGACATATCTTTTGTTTATTATTGAAGAATTAAAAATTTTTCAAATAAAAAAATCTCTGAATAGTAAACAGACTGGTCAATTCACCCTGAATCCTAGCAAATAGTTTTGAATTATTTTGTAATTACCATAATTTCAGATATTATTAAAACAAGATGAATTAAATAGCTTACCCAGTGAGGATAAAAAGCTCTCTGATATTGTTGCGCTGGAAGTTGGTGCCATTGGTGAGAATATGAGACTAAGAAGAGCAGTTTTCTTTCCCAATTCAGAGGGGCAGTATGTCAACTCTTATGTTCACAATTCTGGTAAGATTCTTCCTCGTTGATTGATAATTTGCCTCTTACAAGTGTTTTGTATATAAATGTGGCAATTTTTAGTGATTTGTAGCTAAATTATAGTGAATTCTAGACCAACAGAGTTCAGAGTTATTGTTCTTTTTTTTCATGAGGCTTCATATGATTATAGGATTCAAAATATTTCAGACTAGTTCAGACTAAAGCTTTTTATAAAAAATATAGAAACATAAATGGCTTGATAAATACATTATTTTTATAAAGCATTTTTTGTAATTAAATTAATACTGCAAAGATTTATATACTGCTATAAACAAAAGGGGTGCAACTCTTCTGTGTTTGTTTTGGGAAAATGACAAAGTTTATAATGAGCACTGCGCAGTATAAATGATGAAATGAGTTTTGCAAACAACACGTCATTAATATTTTCCAAATAACAGATAAGAAAGTGGTCATTAAGGACTGTCACTTGGGAAGATATGGAGTAATACTGAGTGTACAACAAGCTGCAGGCACAGAAACAAGGGAGTCTTTGACAGACATTACAACAGGTCTCTGTCAGCACATCATAGCTTCTTCTCCCACTAGTATAGGGCTCCCCACAGACAAACCCACGGTCAGTAAACAGGAAGAGACCAAGTTACTGTTCCAGGAGTATGCCCTGGATGAAGATGTGATGGTCAAAGACATTTTAAAGGAGAATGGTTTAACTGTGACTGATTTCGTTAGATATGAATGTGGGGAAGAATTGCCCGATGAAAATGTTTGAATAATGCTTGGAAATGTTGTAAACTTCAGTAATATTACATGTAACAATGTAAGAATTTTTGGGGGCAAAAAAAGCTTTGAAATTATATTTACATTTTGTTAAGGTTATGCTTGTGTTGAAAAGATAAAATATGAGTTCATAAGCTTCATTAAATAACCTTTAAGCAATGTCTTGTATTCACCTGATCTTTATCCATGCTTGAATCAAATTACCCGTTACATCATTAGTACAGTGTACATTGTCTGTGATGGGACAGCAGAAACATAAAAACAATCTATAGAGTATAGATACACTATTACAATGTACATTGTATATGTGTAAGATTAATGCTGCATGTACTTTATTCTAAGTAAACAATTTTTAAAAAATTTTCAAATCTGACCATTTTTTTTCAATAGTTTTTTTTTTGGAAAAAAACCTGGTACATGCATTATTTCTATGTATAAGATTATGAATACAAACAGAAATGATCAGGGGGTAAGAGGAATTTTACTTTTGATAGATCTTGCTGTGAGAGGACAGATTACATCTCCCTTTTCAACCAAGGAGCAAACGGAACTACTGTTCCATACTTCTACTCAGCCTATGAAGAAGGGTGAAACACTTGGACACAGGAGTTTTCACACCACATCATTAGGAATGGATGACAAGCTAACTCACCTTGATTCCAGTGGGAAGGCAAAAATGGTCGATGTGGGAGATAAAGCAGAAACCGTGAGAACTGCTGTAGCCTGTGCCTCCATCTCTCTGGGAAAGAAGGCCTTTACTTTGGTAGAAGCAAACAAAACAAAGAAGGGCGATGTCCTCTCTGTTGCTCAGTTAGCAGGAATAATGGCTGCCAAAAGGACAAGTGAGCTCATCCCTCTTTGTCACAACATTGGACTGAGTAAAGTGTCAGTTGATCTGAGTTTACAGGGGGATTCTTACTCTGTGTATATTGAATGTGAGGCAAGAACAGTGGGGAGGACGGGGGTGGAAATGGAGGCCCTCACTGGGGCCTCTGTGGCAGCCATTACTGTGTATGACATGTGTAAAGCAGTCAACAAGGAGATGGTCATTTCTGACATCAGGCTCCTCAGTAAAACAGGGGGTAAAAGTGGGGAATACAAGTTTGAGCCTGAATAGGTTGTAGTTGTATGCCTAGATTGAAGATGTGATTAAGATATCTCTTGTGATGGCACACTTAAAAAATTTCAACCATGTTCTGCAAAATCAGAATTTTCAGGTCCTCTCTCGGCTAATATCTCTTCAATTCTGTTATGTGACAAAACTTAGCTCTGTAATCCACCTCAAAATATTAGTTGCTCTTTGAACAGACAAGATTTAGTTGTAATCATTGTTGTTTAAATTTCTTAAAGGACATGGAAAACAAAATATTTTATAATCAAGCTCAAAGTCAAAGTGCATTCTCACAAAAAAAAAGTTGTAAGTTGTATAATAAATAAAAGTTGGTAAAAAAAATTACCAAAACATCGGAAAAAAACAAAGAACAGATGGCTTCTTGTCAAGTTGATTATTTTAATGCTGCATCTCCTACAATTTTTAATATTAGATGAATTCAATTTTGTCACTAAAAAAATGTGATCAAATAAACATTGTAAAAATTTTATCAGTTTTGCTGATACATATATATCTCTGTAATATTATTGATGAGGAGAAGAATAATAAAATTCTTACAGATACCGGTATGTAACAATATAAGAATAGTCTTTGGTATATTTATAACAAGTTTGAATGTCAGAGTCAAATGTTCATGCATTTGTAAAATCAATTTTTGTAGCTACTATTTTTCTAGGTATCTGTCCGTCTGGACAAAGGAACTTCTAAAGAGCAATTCAAAAGAACTCTATACTTAAGAATCAAAGAGAACCGAAATGTAGAACCAAACATGGAATTCCGAATTGTTTGGTATTTTTTTTAAAGCGAATTTCTCCTTAACCTACGCGCGCGGGTGACGTTAAACATAGAATTAATTTTAAACAGCCTAAAAAAAAAAATCAAAAAAAAATCAAGGAAACCTTTTCTAAAAATCCGAATTTTTCGTGTCAATTCCTATTTTTTTTCTACTCTGGCCTTTTTGAAAAATAAAAATGCATTCATTTAGAATATGTCCTATAGTCAATGTAAAATGCAGTTCTTATTCAGATTCTGTAGTATAAAGTTTTTGATTAATGTCTTCAGATACTTTGCGAGTTTATTGTCAAATTTGCAAAGGTACATTTGGTCTAAGGTGTCCATATTCGGTAATAAATTTCCAGTTTTTTAGCTATAAAATATCTTAATTTTAATTTAACCCTAAAACTTGCCATTATTTTTTTCGGTCAAAGAATGATGGAAAATCTTTTTTATTAAAGGACAGGTGATACCAATAATATTTTATCAAAAATCTATATCATAATAACGTAAGTTATATTCATATTAGTGAAATGAATACGTTCAACCGCACAAATTTTAATTTTTATTTCAAAATTATACAATAATGGAATTTTGATTAACAAAAAAATTATAGATTGCAGAATGATGGATTTTGAACATATAAAAAGTTTACAAAGATGGGCGTATTTGGCTGTGATCTGCAGGAATCATTTGTACGAAACATTTATGGTTTAAATGTCCATGATTTGGTCAGATTTTACAAATACACCATACAGTGTAGGATTTTTTTTTTCATTTAGTTTGAAAGACCTTGTTAGATTGTAACATTTATGACCGTTTTTTCTAGAAGATACAATAACATAGTAATGTTTCGGAAAAAGTAAACACCTATAGGATTAAAGGCATAGATAATAAGTGTACATGTACATCATAAAATAGAAGATTGGATTTGATTTCTATGGAACGCCGTCACTGCCTTATAGCATAACACTACTATTGCATTGTGTCAACCTTCCATTACATTATGTCAACTCTTTATGACATGTACCCACCCTACTATTGCATTGTGTAAACCTTCCATTACATTATGTCAACTTTTTATGACATTAAGCCACACTACTATTGCATTGTGTCAAACTCTTTATGACATTAACCCACACTACTATTGCATGACATTTACACATACTACAATTTATTTCGTCATTTTCGTTTTTTACTTTTCATGAAATCTTAGTTTTTACATGTGAAAAGCTCATGCCATACTGTGCGCACTCTTCTACATTATGTCGATTCACTATTACGTTATGCGAACGCGAGTATCCTCGGCCTTTATATGAGCATAACGTATTTTCCGCGTTCCGCAAGCGCTAAAATGGCGGGAGAGAAAACTGTCGTAAAAGAGATTCTCAGTGATTTCGGAATGACATCTTTATATGAAAACTTCAAGCGACAAATGATTGACAATTTGAAACATGCAAAGCCTTAACACTGCGACTGTGAATTAAAGTGGTGTTTACTTTAATCTGATAATTAAATAAATCAAATATTATGAGTCGTGCAGCAATCATTTTTTTCTTTTTATTTTGAATTGTTTTTTTTTTTTTTTTTTTTGTTTTTTTAATAAAAGTCTTAAACTTTGTAGGACATTGCATTAGTTTCACATTAAGTTTAGCTGAATTAAGTTGAAAACTTTTTTCTATAAAACTATAAAGCCTGAACATATAAAAAGATTTATAAAGCCACTGATATGTGCCCATGCATGCTTGGCATATTCAATTGATTTAGATGAGCGACTGGTAGATTTTTGTAATAGAATTCTTGCCCTAGAATGATTAAAAAAAATTACTAACTCCAGTGACGTAGCATCTTTTTTTGAAAGAGGAGGTCAGCCAGTAAAAAAAATCATTTATCCGAAAAAACTAGACAAGCCAAGAAAAAAAAATGTCCAAGCCCGAAAATCCTATTTCGAGGAGAGTGGTCCAACTTCAATCAATCCTATTTTTTTCCAGATATATTATATTACCCTTAGTGGACTATATTTCAACAAGATGAACATTTTTTCTATAGTAAAGTTATATGTCTGGGAAAAGAGATTGATATTATAATTTGTCCTAATCAATCACGACCCCCCCCTTCAATTAAAACACGGTCGTCAACATTTATTATATACTAGATATACAGCTTTGAGATAATGTAAATGTGTCCACATGATAAAGAGTTAACACAATATAAAGATATTTTTAAATCACATAAGATTTAACGTTATAATATATCCACATCACGGTATTCACATAATGTAATAAAGTGTTGATATAATATAAAGATATGTTCACATTATGATACACTTTTTACACCACGTTAAAGCACTGACATAAAGGTAAGACCTCACATCATGATGCCCTCGCCGTAAAATAAAGATAAATCCATTACGTAATGTACTTTGATATAATAGAAATATACACTCTCAAAAAGGAATGGGCTTTTGACTTCATGTGATGATAAGTTTAATTATAAAACACAATTTACTTGACGTAATGCAATTTTGACCTCACATATTAAAGAAATGAAATGATGTAAAGAAACATTCATTTCACGTAATAAAGTTTTAACACAATGTAAACACATTATCACTTCACATAATGAATTTTTTACTTCAAGTTATGAAGTGCACATAATGAAATGATGTATTTACTTCATGTAATGCAGCATTGACATGATGTTAAGATATATTTTCATCATCCCGTAAAAAATGGACATAACGTAAAGATATGTTCACATCACGTAATGATAAATTGACGTAATAAATGCATAGTTGTATGCTATAAGGCAGTGATGGCGTTCCATAGATTTCGCTCGAGAACCAAATGTTATCTAATTCAAAATTTTAATGCATCAGTATATATTATAAAATAAAACTGACAAAATAAATTGTTGTTTGCATGAAAAAAAAATAAAATAAAAATTAACGCCCCATGCGAGGCTTGAACCAAAAACTTTTGGCATCTGGTGAACTGAACAGGTAGCCCATTTTACCGAGTTATCCCCGCAACATATATTGTTGAATTTAAAAGGAAAAAGAAGCACCATAATGATACAGTTCGATTTTTTTTGTTGAAAAAGTTCATTTTTTATGGTCTCTGGGTCTTCTCTCCATTTTTTACAAATGTATATCCGTTTCTTTGAATTAAAATGCACACAAATAACGTTTCAAAATCATGGAGAGAAGACCCAGAGATCGAAAAATTTTAGAAAAACTTGTTAAAAAGTGTACCATTTTGTACCAAATGTTTGATCTAGCCAATTTTCAGGTTATTTTTTAGCCAATTAAAATTCACTTTTGGGAAAATATTTTCTTTTCCTATTGCACAGGAACCTAATAAATAAAAAAAAAAATGTTAAAATATCATGAGACATGTCGATAAAATTTTTCACTTTTCAAGTACGCCCAGATTCTTGCCGAATGCCAATGAAAGCGCCCTCGTTCTTCTTAATATTTTAGAAATCTATATGTTACATTTACAACCAAAATAGGTCTAAAAATATAATAAATTATATCAATCCTGCAGGCATCTATGTTTTGTCCACAGGACCCTCTATTCCCTACAAACAAAAGAGTTCCAATTCTGTCAATTTTTATAACAGTTAGAGTGATCTGTTCAACGATCTGAATTAAAATTAATTGTTATCTATATTATTGTATTATTCAATTTAAATGCAATGAATCATTTTCCATATTTTATTCGGCCAAGATAAATGAACTGAACACTTTTATTTGCATATAATTTTTTCTCACTTTTGTTCATCAGTACTTCGTTGTCTTTCTGAACATAAAAATAACAGTTAACTGATACCCTCAGTGAACAGAGACATAAGTGTAAAGAGTCCTGAATTAGGTAAAAATACTTTTGAACGCAATAAACGCAACACATTCATCAAACGTAACTTTTTAAATATCTGTTTGTTGTAGATGTTTAATAGTTAATAAATATTCAAATCAATATCACACTTCGTTAAAATGTATCTCCCTTTGAGCATGCTATCCTTAAATGAACAGGGGGCACGGCGACCGACCTTAATTAACATGTCGCTGACCATGTAAAACAGTTGATTTTATTACATGTACTTGCGTCAAAGAATGCTTCTCTAGACACTTGGGTCATTGTCTCGACTGCCCAGTTGTTTTAGTCGCTAATCATGTCATTATTCCTACTTAATCCACTTGTCATTACAGGTCATGCACAGTTTCAAATCATAAAACGCATGTAATTGTTACGTAACGACACGAACGGTCAAGATGAGGAACCCGAAGGGTGAAATTTTATAAAATTACGTTATAAGACTTTTATTTAAATATTAAAACCACAAAATTTCAATTTGTCAACCAGAAACTGCTTTTCAGTGTTATAGAAGATTTGACTCTAACAGAAACTTTAAAAACTAACGTTTTTTACTGCACGAAAAATAATATTTTATTCGAGTTTTCCCGTACCCTCTTGGGGCCAGAGTATAAATACTTTGAACATTTCGCCCGCAGAACACTTTTGGTTCGTCGACTTTAGTTACTATGAAATTTTCAGTGCTAGCTTTATGTAGTTTAGTTGGGACAGCCCTTTGTCAAGTTCCAAGACAAGGCTTTGGTGGAAGTCCAGTCGGAATAAATTTGCAAAATGGACTGAATGGATTTGGTGGAATCAATGGATTCATCGACTTTGACATTGACCACCCATTATCAGACGTTGATAGTTCAGTTCTCGCTGCCCAGCGGTTCATGGGCTCAGGATCCCCAGGAGTTGGAATGATGGGACAGTCTTTCGGAGGACCTCAGGGATTTTCGGGACAACAAGACTTTGGTATGCAACAACAACGAAATGGTGGACAGCAGAGATTTGACGGACCACAAGGACTTTCGGGATCTGTGTCAGGTGGTAGCCAAGGGTGGAACGACGGACAACGGGGCCAGATTTCCAGCAGAGGCCAGATAAATGCGCGGGCTGACTTCAACTCCAGAGACTCTTTTCTATCTTCCGGCAGAAACAGCGCAGACTCACTCTCTTTAACAGACTTAGGAACAAGATCAGGAAGCAGAACGTCAAACAGAAATGGTCTCATTGTCGAACAATCCCAGTTTTCTTCCGGCAGCAGAAATGATCTGCGTCCGCTTAGCGGCCGTTCCAGTTTTTCTCGTTCCAACGTACGCCTTCCACAAAGATCTACCGTCGATTCCAGAAGGAGTAACTTCGGTACCCGAAATCTCGGTACATCTCGCAGAATCTCTCTTGGATCTCGTAATGCTCGCCAGATCCCACAGAGAGGAATGTTCCGATGAAGAGTTATTTAGACTTTAACAACAGATTGTTGGCAAAAGAAGAAAAAGTTTTATTCAGATCGAGTTGCTAGAAAGGAACAGCAAACGAACAATTTCGAGTTGCATGCTGTTGTAAACATGCAACTTTAACCATGTCTCCTTATTTATTATACAGATTTAAATACCGCTGGGACTTTTCACCGGTGTCTTTGATTAGTGTGAGGGAAACGTGCGATAAATTATTAATTTTACAATTTGAATATAATTAATGCAGTATTTCAAGTTGTTTGAACTGAACAAAAAATCGATTGTGTCACTTCAAATCCCAAGTGTCTCTCATTTTCAGTTTGTGTACAGCACCGATTCTTCACTATATATTTACTTACCTTATTTATCACTATGTACTTATGTAGAAAAATATTTATGATATTTATTTATTATAGTTTATTTATCATGGTACTTTATTTTTTGCTTCATTTCTTCGAAGTAAAGTATTCTAAACATGATGATTTTGTTTTAATATCGATATGCAATAGTGAATCTCTTTTAGTGATTTTCAATGTGAAGAGGTCTTCTGAACTTTAACAAATCAAACAACACTTTACCGAGAGAGTTATTATTGCATATGGTATATGTGAAAAATAAGAAAAATTTGACTTAAATTCAGAGAAGTCAAACTCCAAGGCCAAAGTCAAAATTTTGGTTTCCAAAGAAAGGTCTTGCCTGTAAAATATAAAAGCCGTAGTGCTAACTGTTCAAAACTTGTGGACAATGTTAATTTTTTTAAATGTGAGTTAAACTCTAAGTTCAAAAATATGAATACCCATTGAAAGGTGGTACAATGAATACATATGTGAAGTATGAAAACATAGCACCAACTATTAAAAAATTATAGAAATAAATTGGTTAAATTTGGTGGTAACAAAAGAGAGTTTTTGTCACAAGGAATACACTTGTGAAATATGAAAACAATGGCCCCACCCACTCAAAATTAATGGGCAATGTTAAAGTTTTTGAGGACAGACAGAAAGACGGACGGACAGGACAAAAGCTATATACTCAGTATACTTCCGAATATTCGATTACGGGGGCATAAAAATTTATTCCTCCCTACAAATAACAAACTTGTTTGTATCTCCAATTGCCCATTTCAAAAAGACAATAGGATGTTTCCAATAATTTTGTGTGTGTCGTTTTTGTAAAGATTCTAACAGATATTTTCCAAAGGACGTCGATTTGGTTACATGCATATCCAGAACGTGCCCACAGTTCTTGTAGGTTGTACTTATAACGTATACATATACAATATACAATTTACGATTGATATCGTTATCTTATCAAATTTGAGTATTTCAATATTTTTCTAAGCTTCAAATTTAGAATTCTGTTTATTTTGTTCATTAATTTTTTTATGTTTGTTCACAATTTAATCAAGTTAATCAAGATACCCGGTAGTATATTTTATTTCAAGACACTTTAGTTTCTACAACCAAAGGTGCAGAGGTGCATTATTTTATAAATTAACCTGAAATTTAAAGTTTTGGGATAGGGGTATTGCAATTGTCAAAATTATCCACCTGTGTAAAATATTTTCCCCCGACAGCATCCTGTCTAAATACAACAGTAAAAAGCCATTCTGAGAATACAACGTTTTATTTTTAATTTTTAATAATTGTCAACAATAAATAATTTATTAAGAACAACATGTGAAATAGTGAATAGTCAGTCATGTTTTTTGATAACGCTTAAGGAAAATAAACATCTTGATAAAAAAGTTCCAAAAATGTATAGATCTCTAACACTTGCTTGCAGATTGTAGAAAAAACACCAATAGTAATCATTCTTATAAATTTAAACGTCGGAAATCTTGTATTGATGAAAATTTTGACATCCAAAATATTTATAGAATTTATATAGTTTAGGATGCAAACCTTTTTTTTTCTTCAAAACTTCGGAAAATAGCCAAAATTTTATTTACACAAGTAAAATGTATAGATTTGCGTCTTTCTTTCTCAGTTTCACAATATTTTCATATAAAGTGATTAAATTTGCGCCAAATTAAAATGAAGACAGTCAGCAAAAAATGTAGCATTTTGAACATATCAATATGTTAACTTTTATACAATACTTTTATACAATTTCTAAATTTGTTAGAAATTTATTATTTGCAATATTTAAAATCAAAACATGCCTTGAAGTATACAGATGTATCATCCATTCTAAGGCCAGTGAAAAGTAGATGAAAAATCTTAAACTTTCCTCTTTTTATAATTGGTATTTGACCTTCGATAAACGAAATAATTGTTTCAGTCGCACCAGAACCATTGAGAAAATACAGATTGCAAAGTACAACAGTATCGAGAGGGGTTTAATTTGGAAATCAGATAGATTCCGTCTCCAAGGACGCTTTGAAGCAAAATGAATATCTATAGGCTTTTATGGGTATTTGTCATGCTTAATTATTCAGTTCCCACTAGGACATGGCGTCTCAGAGGGTGTCAAAATGTTGTTATAAATGAATAATTCGAGACATGGTTAGCTTAAAATCTAGATATCTATTGACAAAACATTTGCATAAAAGTTCTGGAAGGGATGGGAGAGTAAATATCTTTAGTGGCCTCAATGCTCATCTGATCTGATTTTTAACACAATTCAGATTTTAAGCAATATAAGAATTAATATTTTTAATCGTTATTATTTTAAAAATTTTCTTTCACATGTGGCAAACAAAATGAAACAGTCAAATATACACCGTTACTAAGGAATAACACTGAAAGAGATGAAATATAGGTCTCTTGGGATTAACAGTGATATTACTAATCTGAATAAATCAGGATTTGGCGTTAGTTTCATATAATGATATATTGCCAACAGGGTTAATAAATGTTTGTCTAAGATTAACAACGTTTAAGCATGCATCCACAAGTTCTGTTTGTTTTTCTTTACAATATCAGCATCCATATGAATTATTACAGACATTTTATTTTATATGGTCTTTTATGGCAGACTTTGGGTAACTGAGTAAAAGAAAATAAGAAACCATTGTACCAGGAACCTTTATACTCCATGGTCCTGTTGAAAATGTCAGATTTAATGCAAAGGACGAGTGTGACAACAAAGTCCAATAGACATGAAGCAGGACATACAAATCAAATCCCAAGTAAATTATTTCCGAGGAATAAGGATCTTAAGTAAAATTTTACTGTTGAAAATGTTCTTTTAAAGGCTGGTTAAAGATGATGCCAATAGTCCGAAATATCTGACGATTTTGATATTTAACGTGCCAGGGCTAAAATATCGAAATCGTTAAAAAGCCTGGAAAACGTGAGATTTTTCGGACTATGTTACCAAGTGCCAGATTCGATCATTTCGATCCCTCTAAAAATTCAAATTGATCAGCTAAACCAGATATTATTAATTTAAAATACATGTAGATATATAAACAGAATAAATTACATTATAACCAAAAAGCCAGTGTCATAATCTCAATCAGTATTACGTCAGTCAGTTTTGTGGTTGGTTTCGAGGTGGCGCCGAAGGTCGACCTTTCTTTGGAAGTTTCGGCCACACCTGTCGCACCTGAAGGGTTTGAACCCCGTGTGTTTCCGACTATGGGTGATGAGGTTAGAGGACTGACTGAAGGCTTTCCCGCACACATTACATTTGTGTGGCTTCTCACCTAGGAATAAAGACAGAACTATATCCATGTTTTTAAAACGTTCAAATTAGTTCAGAAGTTGGACATTTTTTCCTTGATATATGTGTCTCAACTGCCAACTATACGGAAAACATTTTAAAGTTTCCAAAATTTCTCAAAATGAAATATTAGGAAAACATTTTGCAGATTATTAGAAAAGTGTGATACATGTATTGCTTTAACTGGCGCATTTGAAGATTTGAATTATTTGGGGATTTCAAATGTGAAACTTTGCTTTCTGTTCAAATAGACAAATACCAGAATAAATTATTCTATTTGAATTTCTCGTATTTTGAATGGTTTTGTTGCCTACCTGTATGAATAAAGGTATGCTTTTTCATATCAGACTTTTGGTGAAATCGTTTGCCACAGTACTGACATGGATAAGGTCTGGTGTCACTGTGGATCAACATGTGCGTGTTAAGAGTAGATGACCTTTTGAAGGTTTTTCCGCACTCCGGACAACGAAAAGCTCTATGAAAGTCGGACACATCATGCAGAGTAGTATCTATCAGCAATTGTCGCTCCATCCAGTTCGAAGACGATTGGGATGAGTCTTCGTCTACTTCCATAACCGGTTGAGAAATGGAATTCTGGGAGCGGATATCTAGGAATGGAGTAAGTAAATGACATCGGAAGCAGTTGCAGTAGTCTGTCAGTTGTCCCTCGGTCTCAAACAAGAGCAGATGTTTGGGTATCGAATGGAACATATCCGAGGAGGATCGAAAGTCCATCTGGCGATGTCTTCTCTCTAGAACTGACAAGTAATGGTGGAGAAGCATTTGGAAGGTCATTGGCTCTGAAAGTTTCAAAGATCAAATTGTATCACGATTCTTGTAATCATTTTTAATGCTCAAAATCATCTCAAATTCAACTGAAAACCTGAAATTAATCTCTCCTTTAAACCAATTAATATTTCGAGGTCTTTAAAGATAATGTTAAGTTATTTTTGGGATATTCGTTTTCAAAAACTTTTGCTTAGAAAAAAACCCTTAAACTTTCAACACACTTTAAACTTTAGTTTACAAAATCCCAACAAACCTTCGATATTGAAAAACAAAGGCCATAAGTCTTTTTTCGAAAACACAGCTGATTAACGTGTCTTATGGACACAAAGAGTACTAGACAAAAAAAACCTTTCCCAAGTTTATCTTCTATAACCGTAAACATAAGTCGAACAAAGCCAAACAAAAACAACTTTGCAAAAAGATATTAGTTTGCGAATAAAAAAAGTCTTCCTCTTTCTTCCATCATATAAATGATGCGCTAAACTTGCAACCAAGTTTGTTACTTTGTGAACTGCCACCTCTTCTTCTGGAAGCTCAATGCAGTCAAATATCTTTCAAAACGTAGCTATATTCAGTTTCAAATATGTATATAAAAGGCTAATTCTGACAGCAACGAAATCTAAAGTGCATGGACATGGCCTATAATACGCAACCATTAATCTTGACACCACCGATTGAAAATATTCAATTTGCATGTTGAGGTACAACAAATTGCCCAACGTTTCGAAACACTTCGAATCCCTTGACAGACAATAACAATCAAAGGCTTGGCGGGTTTGAGGAGCCATAACGATTGTATCGTCCTCCCCGAACGGTCGGTTCGGATGCCAAACTACAGCAAATTACCTCGCCAAGAGAAGCCAAATCTCGCAGCTTAATTACCCATGTGACCGGAAGTTATCGGATGTAAAACGTGTATCGGGATTCGTGATGTAACGTTGCGAGGAAGATGTTGTCATTACATAGCATACATTGTTATAACTGTCATATCTGACGATGTAGTTATGCTACAGGACCAGACCAGTATAACTCCGCGGGGCGATGCTGGGCTAATTAAGTTCCCAATTAGGCAAAAAACGCGAGAAATGATGTCGAGCGACACGAAAGCTAAAGATAGATCTTGTGCGGTAGAACATTCGAATGGTCACCCCGGGAATCTTTAATTATTCACCGCCATAAAAAATGATTGAACTACCAGTCTTGTTCCTTTGATATATTTAGTAATTTTGTTTCATCGGCATAACTTAACGGGGCCGTGTGATCCAACAGATAATGACCAGACATTCACTGCATTGTAATCAATGCTCTCAATCTGTTCCAAGAGCTTTGGTCTAACAAATTTATACAGCTTTATAACAAAATTTCTAAGCCATAAATTCATAAGACAAGATGATTATTTTGGGTGGCAAAGAACATTCTAACAATTAACCATAACACATTCTGTGAAAGATTTTTTTTCAGATTTAAAAGTACATGCATGTCATGTTTGATAATTATGAAAATAGTTTTCTCCTAATTCATGTCGGAAAAAAATTAAACTATGTATTTTTACCGATTCCTTCTTCAGACTAAGAAAGTGATTTCAGGACAGATGTGCCAAAATTCAAGTTATCCTCCTGACTGCGTTAATCAATTTCACTAACAAAGTGAATTTTCAATCGAAATAAAAAAATGTTCACTTAAGTGCTATCTTTGTCCATTGGAATATAAGTTGCTAAAGGAAATAAATGAATGTTAACAGTGATATGTTACCTTCATCTTGGTTTGCATCGTCCGGTTTTAAATTTTGTTCCTTATCTGGATCTGCAATGGAAAATTCATATCAACAATGTACGCAAATAAAAATATTTTTGCAGAAAAACTACCCAACAATAATATGAATATACATAGGCGTCGGAAGCAAACTAAAAGTGGGGTGGCTAATTGAAAGTGGGGGCTAAACCAACAAAAAAAGGTAAATCCTAATTTTCAATGCCTATATCATGTCTATCTTTGCAAAAAAAGTAGGGCTAAGCCCCCCCCCCCCCCCCCCCCCCCGTTTCCGACGCCTATGATATAAAGGAGTAATGTGTTCACCTGGCTGTGGATCTGTAGATCATTGGTCTAAATGCATCCTTTTTTTACTAGCAATGACCTACAGATCTGTAGCTGATTTTTCACACTTGGGGAGGGGTGGGTGGGTGGTGGTATTTAGACAAGGAAGAAGTCGCTGGAGAAACGGGATCTCTCTCTCTCTCTCTCTCTCTCTCTCTCTCTCTATATATATATATATATATATATATCTTTTTATAATAATGAAATAAAATAGTTGCTACTGGATTTGAAACACTTACCTTTTGTTCAGTTTTCAATGAGAAGAATTTAGTATCATTTTACAATCGTAATTTGTTTCAAGTTTGATACAGAGAGACAGGCAATTTAAAAGACTTTTGTATATATTTTAGGTACACGTGACAGCACCATTCAATAAATATCTTTAACCAATATAAATAGAATTATTTTTAAAAGTGTTTACTTGTATTATATTTTTACAGTCATCCCAATCTTGGACAGAGAGACAAAAGGATTCACTACAATGTGACTTTCCGGGTTATCAATAGGCAAAAAAGAAAATGACACCATGAAAGTAAACGGTTTGTCTCTCTTCAGCAACTGTCGAAATAAATTCGCTTTGCATTATGAAATTACAAAAAAATAACCTTAGGGAAATACAAATCCTTTTCTCTTTATAAAAATGTAGTCAAGCAATTACATGTCTGTACTCTGTTTTATTACATATCTATTTCCTACATATAACATTTGTATGTTTTATTGTTTTCTATCATCCTGTCAATTTCAAAGTTAGAAATATAAACAATAAGTTTCCCTTTGGAAGTCAGTCACTTGTATCAGCTGTCGTCTGGTTTATCAACTCTTACAAAAAGAATTTATTTCTAAAAAAAAAAAAGAAAAAAAAAGAAGTATATGCTAGTTGTTTTAAAAAAAATGATGAAAAAACAAATATTCATAGTCGCCTCGGATTGGTCACAGCAAAACAGTCCTAACAAGTGATTTATGAAAATCCCTGAGATAAACAGATTGTGTCATGACTTTTCACATTCTCCAGGGGGAGATCAGTCGAGAAAACTTGCCATTGAAGCGGACAGGAAACTACACTATATAAATTAAATATTAACAAACGCAATAATTCATATGTGAAAAAAGAAAGGGATAATGTTTTATTCAGAAATAACTTCCCGACGAGCCGTTCTTAGGGGAGCCTCTAGTAATTGCAGATTTGTTGTTTCAGATTGTATTTCAAATTGCATGATGGGTAATTTGTTTTGCAACGAAATGTTGTGAGCAGGTAGAATTATTCGAGAAGTCCGCTCTGCTTCAATTAACATCATCAATCCGTTCTGCCCCACTTAACATCATTAGTAAAAATGATCACCGGAGGAGATTTTGAAAGTGCGGTTTAAAAGTGAATATTTTCAAATAATAAAAATAAATCGTCAAATAACAATAACATTTGACACGGAGTAATCATGAATCTTTAATTGCCAAAAAAGGGAAGGGGGGGGGGGGGGGACTCGAACAGTTTAATTGGCATATTAGCTTACACATCTTTTCCACTGATCGAGTGATCTACACGAGGCCGCCATGACATAAAACAATATGCCCCATAATATTTATCATAAATTGTCACAAATTAAACCTATAAAATAAAAATCCAATAGCGTATGAGACTGAAAAAAATGTTGATCTGATATAATTTAATTTTACTTGTAACACGTCAAAAAACGTTTTACTCCACTTGACGTTACTTTTAAAATTTAACCATTGTGAGACTTTATTCTGAAGAAAAAATTGTCTCATTACCTACACTGAAATTAAATTATAAGGAATGAAGCTTATTTCAACTTATTTTATACGATATAACAAAACTTGGGGCAGTTTACTCTTTTTTATAAACCGCTTCGCGGTTTATCAAGCGTAAACTGCCCCAAGTTATGTTACATCGTATAATATAAGTTGAAATAAGCTTCATTCCTTAATTAATATTAAATGAAAAACTAAAGTTGAGAGAGAGAGAGAGTCTGGCGTCTAATGTGAAACTACTGGAATAATGAAAATTATTTTATCTATATAAAGTATACACAGCATTGGCAGGCGCGTAGCATCGTTTTTGGAAGTGGGGGGGCCAACCTGAGAAAATTTTTTTTTACTTACCTGAAAAAGTTGACAAGCAAAAAAAAAAAAAAAAAAAAAAAAAAAAAAAAAAAAATTTAAAGTTGCCCAAGTCGAAAATCCTATTTCGTGGGGGTTGGGGGGGGGGGGGGGGGTTAGTGGCTAACTTTTTTCAAGACCAACTATCTTTCAATTCAAACTTTTTGGGATTAATTTTCTTATAACACTACCCTTTGCTGACATGTGGGGGGGCCAACCTTCCTTTCAGTAAACATTTTCTATAGTAAAGGTAATGTCGGTAGAAAAAGTGGGGGGGCTTGGCCCCCCCTGATACTACGCCCCTGATTGGGGCATAGTCTTAGCTATAGTTTGCACAAAGTAGACAAGAGACCAAAATACATGTCTATATATATCGAAATAATCGAAATTCGGGTAAGGTGGGTGGAGGATTCTATTATACTATTAAAAGTAGCTTAGCAAGCACAAAAATATAATTTCCCTATCTCGAACGTCAAATCTTAATTTCTTTTGGGTGGTGCCGGGACACTATACAAAGTACCAAAAGGGGCAAGTTTAAACCAGGGAGTCCCACGAGTCCCTCTTAACCTTACAAAGAATATAGATGGATGTTTTGAAAAAAAAAATCAAATACTGATTTTTTAAATTTTAGATGAAATGTTTTAAAACGATGATTTACAGGTCGCAAAGAAACACGAGAGTGTTACATTTGTGTAAATTTCCAAGAACATATGATTTATTTATTGATAAGTAAACTGCATCGATGCTTCGAGATGCGTAAATATTTCATAAACTTCACTTACTCTCTTGCGATGATCATTTTATTTTATGCAGCAACAATTGGATCAGGATCCAGAGGCAGATTTAATGGCGCACTGAACTAGAGGGTCTGAAATCACAGATTTCACACCGACGTTTTTAAAAAGCTTTGCATTTCTTTCTCATTTTAATGTACTTTCCAAAGCTATACAATCTCATATGGTTTAACCCTACCCAACCTCCTCTCAGCTACAAAGAAGTATATATCCATTGCATTTGTAGGAAAAGGATGGAAAAGCACTGAGATTATATGGATTTTTTTTTTAATGACAAATAACGTTTACAGTGAATAAAATATATTTTTAATGAAGTCTTCGTAAAAAATAATAACAATATCTTATGGTTTGGATTAAGATACTGCTTTCAAGTGTTTTGGTGGAAACTCGAGCAAAAAATTACATGAAAAGACTTTGCAATTGAATTGACGGACCATGATAGTTTTTTTTTTCTGTTGTGTATATGACAATTGCGTGGATAAAAATTTACATGCACGTAAATTTTAAAGTTCAAATTTGATAAAAAATAAAAAAAAAATCTTTGTAAGAACATCAGATTGCTAGTAAGGCGAACGTCTTGGGTTGGGGTGCCAATTTTAGTGTTTTAAAAAAGTTTGTTAGCGATGGAACAATCGGGACACGAAGAAAGATATGAACACTTTATTTCTCTCATGAAATTGTTAATTTCTATTGCACATTTAGGTATCATTTCCAAATATATTAAATCTTCAATGACATTTACAAAGGAATGTAGAAGAAATCGTTTGGACATTCTTTAAAAAATCTATCAGTCTTAATATTACTTTGTAATACCTTTTGTTCTATTTTAAAACTTTGGAATGAAATATTGAAAATAATAATGATAGTTATAAAGATATTTTTTGCGATCCTTTCATAAAAAATGATAATAATTATGCGATGTACATAACTTTTTTTCATTTAATATTCCTTCCCCCCAAAAAACTTTAAAATTTCTGGGCGTAAAAAATGTAAATAAATAAAAAGTTATACCGGTATTCTATGCTTACGATGGACTATGTGCATGAAAACAATATTTAAAATCGTTCAAAAAAATTTAAGTTGAACTTACCACTTAAAGATGTGTCGTGAGTCTCTGTCTCGCTTTCAAAACCTCTTGTTGGGTTCCATCGCCTAGAATTTTTTACCATAAAAGATTTCGGCATATTGCATCCAATGGGTTGAAATCTAGACACCAAACTAGGGTTCCAAAGCAAGTAGCTTACAGGCAGTGCAAAGCGCCACCTTGCGTCAAAGAAGGACGTTTATTGTATCGAGAACGGAATGATGCACATGATTTGTTTGCATGGGTCTGGTGTATTCACATGGGAGATTGTACAAAGTTAGCAAATAACGGTTCAAGTCGATCTGTAATCAAATATGCTCTGCGGAGAAATGGAAACAATTGATATGTGATTTACCATCGCATAAAAAAAAAATCAAAAAATATTGGTTGTATTTAATTCTTTTTTTAAGGTATATGTATCTCTGTTTAAAGTACGACCAATTTTAGACAGTCTTCGACAAAATGTTTAAAAGCTAAGATGCATAAACCAAATGTATTTTACTACGGACTCATCAAGTTCAATATTTTTTAGAATGTATACAAATTAAGGAGGGTCTAGAAATATTTCATTCGCAGACCTTGGTCGGTTCCGTACATTTGGATTCCTTCTAACCTCAGCTACAAGATTGTAATGTTTCTTTCGAATAAAAAGGGAAAATATTTCACCTTCCTTAGAAAAACACAACAGGGTGGCAGGTATTGGAAGGGGGGGGGCTAAAATATAGGTTTAAACCGGAAGTTTCACGACTAATTCAGCAACCAGAGTTCACTTCAGTTGCATGATATGGAGTCGTGACGTGCAAAGGGTCCTACTGCTGTTTCGTCCTCGCCTTCTTGTACACGTATATGCCCGGGAGCAGACATAGACTTGAGGTCGCTGAGAACAGGTAAGATGGGAAAGTTTCTTCGGGACTCCGTCTTTTGAGCTCGAGGGCAGTAGTTTGACTGAACATCTCCATGCACATATAGTTACAAGATGTCGCGCCCTTTTTTATGGAAGAGGAGGCGCATCTCAGTAATCATTCTGTGAGTATCATTCACAGAGATTTCTGACCTGAACAAGGAAATATTATTATGCAAGACATCATTTGGCTCTAATGAATACTCCATATATTGTTTAGAACTTGGTTATGTCTCTACAGTATTGAGATTTATAGGTTATATCTAGTTTTGGGGCATGACCATTTGAAAACAAAATAATAAATGGCAATTTTTAGATTTCAGTCTATTCTTGGTCACATAGAATTATTTTCAAGCGTTATGTTTGTGTGCGTGTCAACATCATAAACAGGCTATTTTCGATGGCTTAAACTTGATTGGGTTTTATGTCGCCTTTCACTATACTAGACCATGTTATACGGAATCCGTATATTGTCTACAAATTAAAATCTAGGTTAAAGGACCTGTTTTAGTCATTTGCCTTCAATTTGCTGTTAATGATCACTTTTACGACGAACAATCAACACTAAACAGCTTCATTTTTAAGACTGTCTCCTGTGATGTTTTTTGGGTTTAGAAAATTTAGTTAATTAACCCTTTCACCCCAATCATTTGGTGATAAGTTTGTGGAAAATCCAGGTGACCCTCGTAAAGACAGACAGATAATCTTCCTTCAAATATTTTCATATTAGATTTTGGCTTCATGTTATAAATAAATGACAAGAACAACATGTACTTTTTAGCCTTAAATCCTTTTCAACAGGTAAATAATGAATCTTCTCAGATTATGGTCCGGTGGCTCTTCTACACAATCCCTCCGTTGTGTCAAATGTACAGATAGGATCAATTCCATTCGATTCAGCCTCGCACGCAGACTGGTCATCCAGTAGTCTTGCACATCGAAGACAATTTACTGCATTAGCGGCATCGTTTATTTCGCAGAGAAATCCGATGCCTTGGATAGCGACTGAAATGTTTAAATATTTTCAATCACAATAAAATTACAGAAAACCTGGATAAAAATGTTCAAATCTAGAAATATTATATGAAGTAAACAAGAGTTTTATATTTGGCAGTTAAGTACTTTATAAAAATATGTCTTTACTTTGTATTTTTACCTCAATCAATGTTAATGAAATCAGCCAAAAATAAAAACAAAACAAAAAAATAACCAGTATTTTGTTGTCATTGATGATTATAATTAAGTCTAAGGCTCATTAACTGTCGAGGCTTGTTATGCTGCTTTCTCACATTTAAACTGAAATATTTTTGGCCCCTCTCATCCCCCAAAGACAATACACGTATTTCTCTCTCACTCAAAATATCACTTAGAAAAGTAATGAAAAGAAACTTACCATTAAATCTAGCTTGCGCATCTATGAATAAAAAGATAAAATAATCCAAATTTCATTCATCACAATAACTTATTATATTAGTTATTTGCAGATTTTACGCATACTTATGTGACAATAAACCAAGATATATCATAGAAAATACATAGAGGATATCTATAATGTGTGATTTGATATTTGGTTTATCTAACTCAGTTGAAATGGTGTATATAAACACCATTTCAAAGAGTTTACGACATAAAATATAGTATAATACGTTTTTTCAATCGATCAATTTGACTGTAAAAAAAAAATAATGCATCACTCAACATAGGCCATAAATTATTTGTTTCCCTTAAGATTTATTTTTAAATTTGTATTGTTAAAAATAAAAATGTAAAGCTGTAAACTATGGCAAGTCAAACGTTGCAATATTCGATCTTTTCCATTTGTATTGTAAAATTTACCTTTTGTATATTTTTATTTGTATTGTATAATTTTTCATTTGCATTGTTAATTTTTATTTGCATTGTATTTTTTTTCCATTTGTATTCTATAATTTTCCATATGTGTTGTATAATTTTTCATTTGCATTATATATTTGCCATTTGCATTGTATAATTTTTCATTTGCATTGTATATTTTTCATTTGCATTGTATATTTTTCATTTATATTGTAAAATTTATTTGAATTCATTTGTAAAAAACACATGGTATTCAGGAGTTAAACGAGGAACGTGTTTATTAGTGATAAAACAAGTAAATTTACAGAAGTATGAATTGGAATTTAGGATAATTATTAATCAGGATAGAAATTCATTTCGATTTCTTCGCTGGCGATGGAGCAAGGTCTTGGGAGGCATTTTGGTAATTGTAAATATTCATTTTGTTTACGTGCAGTATTGCCCCTGCAAACTGGCCTGTTGAATACTTCCTGCGGCTGCCACAGGTCAAGGTTCTGGTTGGATTATGGTAAGGGAATCGCCTATGTCCGATGTAGAATTACGTTTTGTTGACGACAATAGAACTGACATTTCCTGTTGTTTTTCATGGGCGTCGGAAGCAAATTGAAAGGGGGGCTAATCAAAAGTGGGGGGGGGGGGTAAACCAACAAAAAAAAGGTAAATCCCAATTTTTAATGCCTATAAAATGTCTACATGTATATTTGCAAAAAGGGGGGGCGGGCTAAGCCCCCCCCCCCCCGGTTCTGACGCCTATGTTTTTGGATTGTAATCTCAGAGTAGTTGTTGATAGAATTTACGTTTTTGTGACCTGTGACTTGCATGATATCTGTAGGCGCAATGTTTTCCCTCCTGAGTTTTTGAACGCAGTATTTTCTTGTACTGGTATTTGTAAGTCTTTTTCCAGATTCTGAAAGTTTTGGACACTTTTCAATCATATATATTACTCAAAATTTTTCAATTTTATTCATCCCAAACCTTTGTTTCGTAAACCATTTACCGCTTCGTGTGTCAGAAAAAGGAATTGTTCGTGTAGCTATATAGAAAGGTTCATCTGGGTCCGAAAAACCCTGGGCTCAGATGCTGGCGTACTTTTTGTAAACTTCTTCCAGGTTGTTTTCATTCAGATTAGGGACCGAAAATATTTGTCGAAGACTTATCTAGTGTCACGCGTGTTTACATCGGTGCGGGTTTTGGGTCCGTGTAACACTTAACAATTCAAAATTCTAAAATGTTTTTGTGTATTAGAATGTTAATATATTGGTTCAAATTTCTAAAATTCAAAAACTCATACTGGTTAGGTATATTGAAATTTAATATTTTAAGTTCAAATATCTAAATTATCAAATTTCCAAACAGGTTTGAAAAATTTATGTTTTACATTTTTACCATAAATGTTTAAAATTTAAATTTCCAAAAACTATTTTTTATTTTAAACTTTTGAGTTTTTAATCTACTGTTTGTTCAGAAAGTTTACGCTTAACTATCCAAAATTCAGTAACATATTTTGTCTTTAAATTTACTTCAAACTTCTAAATTTCAACTTTCAAAACGTTCTATAGATTTTTAGAAATTTAGAACTTTGATTCAAACACTCAAATTTTCAATATTCTACAACATATTTTACGTTTTGAGTTTTTAGCCTTTTACTTCAAATATTTGAAATATCAAATTCCAAACCTTGTTTGGATTTTGAAACAATAAATACAAAAAATCTTTTGGTCAATCAGGAGAGCTTTTAGATAGTTAAAATATTGAACTAGTATATACTCAAAATTCAACTCGGGTTTGGAAATTTGATATTTTGGATATTTAAAGTAAAATTCTAAAACTCGGTGTTTCGGTTATTTGAAATTTGAATGTTTGAACCAAAATACCTAATTTCAAAAACTCAAAACTTTTTAAAAGTTGAGATTTAGAAGTTTGAATAAATTTAAAATAATTAAAAGACGAAAATGTTGCTTAACTTAAGATTGTAAAGCGTAAATTTTCTGAACAAACGGTAGATTAAAAACTCAAAAGTTTTAAATACAAAAAATGTTTTGGGGACTTTGACTTTATTTTGAATATTTAAGTAAGATTGTAAACCTGTTTGGAAATTTATTAATTTAGATTTTTGATCTAAAATATTTAGATTTCAATATACCAAATCAGTTTGAGTTTTTGAAATTTAGAAATCTGAACTATTATATTCACATCCAAAACTCTAAATCATTTTGGTCTGTCTTTCAAAATGCTGTAAATATTCAGTGCCATCAGGATTTTTTGTAGGGATGCCGATATTGAATTTCCGATGAGCTGATATTCGATATTGAGAGAAAAGTGTGTGAAGCAAATAAAAACACAAGAAATCTGGAAAAGGAACTGAATGAGGTGAGAGATTTAGCA